GGTGATGCCCTTGGGCTGACCTCAACAACCCCCAACCGGCACGCCCAGGACAGCAGTGTGGTCTTCGAAGAATGCAGAGAGAATAAGCAAGCGACGGACTTGCTCAGACCAGCGTGTACCAAACAACGACGAAGCTGGCCCAGCATCCCACAATAGCCGAGTGGAAGCCCGCGACTGTCAAGTAAGAAATCACGCTCAGGACAAATTCCTCGCAGCTGGCATATTGCCTCAAAGAGAAATTCTGTCCACTTCCGGCTACACAGGCCTGAGGAAATCATGGCCCACGCCATCCCACGCACCCAGCACCAGCCCATTAGTGCACCACCATCCAACACAACGGAGTCTAGAGCCATGCGCTGAACATCGGACCAGCGTAGACTGCCCCAGACCATGGCCAATATGGCACAAAGTAGCAATCGGTCTTCACCAGGCTCACCAAGAACGGCTGCTTCAAGCCTCTGGACGACAATAAGCGGCAGCGGCAACGCCTCCTTGACACGAGACCGATGCCATTTGTCTGCCTGCTTCCAGGCAGGAACCAGAGGGTTCTCCAACACCTTAATCAAACTACTGAGCTGGAAGTTGAAAGCAGCTAATCCCATGCCACTCAGCATGCATTCTTCGTCGTCCAGCAGCACGCGCAGGTGCTCGCTGCTGGTGCAGCCAGACGGGCCGGGGGCAGCCCGTTTGCGTGCACGGCGGGCATTGGCGATGAGGCTTGAGGCGCACAGCTCCAAGGGGGCCGGATGGTTGTGACGGAGTCGCGGCTCAACCGGGATTTGAGGCTCGGGTGGGCGACGTGCCGGGTCTCGCAAGGCGTTCAGCGTGTCGCGGGCGCAGCTCTTCTGGGGGCACTCGGCTTATGCCGGGTGTGCGGTAGAGAAGCATGCGCGGCGCCAGTAAGAACAGTTTCCAGCCTGTGCTCGCTTGTGCGGGCGGTGCGTCGCGGATGTGTTCCAGGCCGACACGGAAAGCATTGCGTAGGAGCCCTCGGAGCTGGCGGGGGGCCGACTGAAAGATGCACATGCGGTTGCGGAGTTCGGCTTCGAGGTCCAAGGCCTGCAAGGCATCCAAGTGTGTGTGCAAAGGGGCTGCGCGGCCCGCTGAGGGCGGTGGCGTCGCCGCTGGTGGGGGGACCACGTCGTCATCGTCATCGGCCTGAGGGGCGCTCGGCCTGTCGTTCCCGTGCACCATGCCTTGTAAGCGAGCGATTGCTTCGCACGGCCCACAGCGGCCCCGGTCACGATCTGTGGCCGGCCGTCGGCCGCAGATGCGGCATTCCAGGACCCCCGGTGTCTCGGCCATGGCAGGGGAACAGGGCACGCGGGTGGGAACCGGAATGGCTGGGGCATGGGCACGCAAGAGTGTGAGTCAGTGCGTTGCCATGCGCTTGCATGGCACCTCTTGCGAACTTCAGATTATTGTCCCAGTCTGGCGTACGCCCTCGGCGGGTGTCTGCGGCACTCGCCCGTTTGCGTGGTCTGAGGTGAGCGCTTGCGGGCGTCGAGGCAAGCGCGGTGCCGCAGCGGGCGCATTGCTTGCGCGTGTGCGGGCTGCCGGTGGTGCCGGGGGCGGTTCTGTCGCTAGTGCTTCCCGCAGTCGTGTGCGGGGCTCGGTGAGCTTTCAGCCGGACCAGGTCCCTCACGAAAGCGCGCCTGGTCGTGCCAGCGCTTGCCCCCGTCCGAACCCAACACGATGAGCTTTTGTGGCCCGCCGCGGGACAGCTCCGGGTAGGTTGCGAGCTTCCGGCGCTCGGCCTCCCTCAGTGCGGCGCCGTCGACCACTGCGCACGGTTGCGGGTGTCCTGTTCGAGTCAAGGAAGACACGACGATGTCAAGCCGGCGCCAGTCTTCCGCTGCGACGCCGTGGAACGACCTGCCCTTCCGCCCCGATCGCCTCTCTCGCGACTCGAACCCATGCTCGTTCGACGAGCTTGGCTCGCCTGGCCTGCAGGCCCGTGCGAGGACAGGCGAGCGCATGGTCGCCGAAAGCATCGACTACAGCGCCGCACCCGGGGTTCGGCAGCAGCCGGCGGCACAAGGCGATTTGCATCGCGGCAGGTGGCAACGTGGAGGCCGGCTCTGTCGGGATCGCCGCGAGCCAAGCACCTGCTTGAGCTCAGCCTGGGGCCGCAGAAGCGCCTAAGAACCGGGCGACATGACCTCGCCACCCATCTCTTTCAGTTTTGGGATTCGGGTTTCAGTCTCAGTCTTTCAGTTTTGGGTTTCGGGTTTGCGTTTTGGGCTTCGCGTTTTGGGTATGGGTTTCGGGTTTGAGTTTTGGGTTTCGGGTTTCAGGCTTCAGTTTTGGGTTTCGGGTTTCAGTTTTTGGGTGTTTGGGTTTCAGTTTTGGGTCCCGGCACCGGGGTAACCGAGGCTAGCTGATACTGGCTGGAAAGCCGGCTGAATTCGTTTTTGTAGCTGGGCCCGCAACCATGGATGTGGCGGTTGAGGAAACAGCCGGTTGAGACTAAGACGATATACCTTGCGAGGCCTCCTCCGCCGACCCGCTGCGATCACCGCTTGATCGTGCGATGGTCTGGCCTCTCGGCAGTCGCCACGCAGCGCGGCACCTTTATCGCCTTCCTGATTGAGTTGCATTGAGGAGCTACAGGAGCTCCTCGCAGAGACGCGCCGAGTGTTTCCCTTACACCAGCTGACTGCGCTGGACTCTGCCAGCTCAGGTATCACGTAGTTGGGACCTCCCGTACCCTCACAGTCGTCAAAAACGAAAAAAATCTTGTTCTGCACCTGCGCGGCAAATACGGGAGGGGAAGCCGCAAGCGTCGCAGCAGCAGAACACGAAAACAAGGCTGGGTATGGCAACGTCATCCCACGTGGGTGTGACGTCAACAGCACGGGCGGTGAAAGGCCCAGCATGGGACAGCAGCAATGCGAAACAGGGGCAAGGTCCGATAAAAGCATCTCGGACGCATTCGCACGCGCGCTTGTCGCAAGCGTGGGCAGCGAGTCGCTGTGAGCCCGTGAACGGCCAACGTTCGCGGGGTACTGCGGGTTTGTCGGGACGGGGTGCGGGGCTCGCAAACCAATCCGGAGCGTCAAAGCCACAGTCGGAAATGTGCTTTCGTGCGAGGATCGCAGCGGTGGCACAAGGCAGGACGCCCCCGCCGCGCAGCGCTCGGAGCAGGCGGTCAGCAGCGGCGGGCGCGGGCCTGGACGACAGAGAGGGTGTTGCTTCAACCGCCGCCGCACACAAATCAGCAGTTTATATTACTTCGGAGGTGAGGCTACGCCACGCCAACGACGCGGCTTGTGACCACTTGCGAAGTTATCAGCACCCCGCCTCCGCCTGTGACTGGCGCGCTCTCGAGACCCGTTTTGAGAACTCACCTGAATCCTAAGCACAGGTGCTGTCACAGGCAGGCCCACACGCTAGTCGCACCGGTTGTGCCTTGCCGACACATTCAAACAGTAATCTCTTCCGAGTTATGACGGGGCTCAAGTCCGTCGCGCCCCGCCCGAGCTCCTCCCCTTCGTGCGGCACAAAATCGCGATATCGCCTAAGGCGGGTTGCGAACAAGGCGAGCCACTGGCTCTGCGGTTTTCGTTTTTGGCCAGCATGCCGCTTCTGCCAGTCCTCGTCCGCGCTCCGAGCGAGTCCTGCGTTCCTCCATCTATGATTTGTACAAAAACAAGCCATCCTCCGAGCAGCACCGCGCCTGTTGCGCACTCGGCGGCATGGGCTGACACACTCCCATGGCGAGCGCACATCATGCCTCCGCAGTGCCACGGTCGCACGCAACGTCCTTCCTGGCGAGTAATCGCGCAGGTCGCCCGCCAGCGGTGACTGACCAGGGTCTGGACCAGTGGCTGCATGACTGGCAGCACGGTGCTTCGCGAGCTCGCGCCGGAACATCCGCAGCCATGCCAGCGGAGCCTGCCACCAGACTGCCCCTGCAAGCAATGCAGTTCGCCTTATGCCACTGCTTGATACTGCTTGCGCCTCCCACTCCCACTTCCTGTAAGTCGCTGCGGCCCATGCCTTTAGCCTAACGCGGTCAGACACTTGATAGCACTGCACGCAGGTGGACGACCCCACCTGGCTGCCATCTGTCACCCCCTCCCAAGTGGCTGCACACGGGCAGCTGTTCCCGACCCTACCCTACCACATCTGGGGCGGGTGGGAGAAGCTCTGATATGTGATGCTGGCACCGCGGATACCTGAAGTCAAAAGGCCTGCACAAGCGATTGTACTGCAGGTGAACGTGAGATATTCCCCCGGATGTGGCGAGCTCGTCGACGTGTTCAGCAGTGTTCGGCGATCACGCTTTGTCGCACACGAAGCCGTTGGCCGCAGCAGTGCAGCAGGCCGTGACCGGCACGGCCCTTGGAAGCCCGTGGCCCGCGCCATCCCACTCGACCAGAGCTTGACCGCATGCTCGACCTCGCCGAAGCAACGTGTTGCCACTGCTCCAACCGCAGTCGCGGGTCGTAGTATGACATTTTCATGAAGTTTAAGCCTCATCGAGGTCCGAAAATCCTAAACATGGAAGGATGCAGCTGCATTGGGACCTCAGCACAGCGACACTCATTGCCGCAAGAATCATACCAACAGGACAGTCTTTTGTCCGACCCCCCCAAAAAAGCAGCGGGTAACGCTGCTTCTTCTGCGGGTCCATCCTCCCACCTTTTTCGCACAGGTGTGGGCTGATGGATTTGGCATGGGTGCCCTGGCGCACTTCGGCGCCGTTGCACTTCCAAACACCAACTTTTGCGAATTTTGTCTACCCCTTTTAGCTCTTTTCTGTTTGCAGTTCTTTCTGATCTCCGTTAGCTTTTTCCGAGGGACCCAGCACATGCACGCTGAAGCTACAGTAGGACCCCACTGCGTGCGGATCTATCAGACCACACGACCGAAGGCAGGAGTTACATGGGACGACCGCAAGCGGGAAGCAAAACGCTGCAGAGTGCGAAGTCGAAGGCGAATTCTGAAGCCGGGCGGCCAATGATCAGACTGACGGCAGAAACGGTTTGAGAGGCAAGAGGCTTACGCCATGCAAGATCATCGAAGGCCCGAAAACCAGAGCCGCCAGCAACGGGCTGCAATCAAAAGCATCATGCCGCAACGCACTGCGATGATGGAACTGCTCCCGTAAACTGTAGAAAAATGCAAGGCCGCTGTGCAGTCTGCGCTGCTGCTAGCTGTGTCACTGGTGCCAGGCGGAGCACGGCATCTAGATTCTAGCCTCCCCAGCATACAGTGACAAGACTCGGGCAAACTGCAAGTGGGGAGAAATGTTCATCAACTTACAGCACGGCAGACCCTCAAAACCGATGGGGACGCCCCATTGATGACCAACAAGCAGCAGCGACGATTTATTTGGCCGCATTTGGCCGCATGTCGAGTCACCAGAGCCGGAAAGAGGCACGGTGCGAAGGTGTGAGGTTCGTTTGAGGCCAACTCTCGATTGCTGGCATCGACCTGGGTCGTATCGCGGCGAGCCCATTGTCAAGCCTGTTGCGCGCCCTGAACCGCCTCCGCCCTGCACTCGTTGTCTCTAATTCGAGGTCTTTTTCCGCCAGGATTCCGCCGGTCATCCCTCTGGGAAGTGCTTCGCTTGCCACGGCCGCGCCGCCTCCAAAGGCAAGGCTTGAAGGACAGCGGCATGCTTTGTACTACAGGGATCCAACTAATTCCAGGGCGTCGGGAGGTCGAACACAGTGGGGGTGTAAACGAAACACACTCCTACTTATTACTAGGGCTCCCTTACACCATCGCCGCTTCATATGCGGCAAGGCAACAGCAAATTCTCAACAAAACCTCCTGTCGTGATGCTAGCTTCTACAGTCTAAAGCGGCAGCAACGCAACGAAGCTGGTCACTGCAACAACCACAGTTCGCCAATGAACGGAATCACAGACGCATCGGCCATCGTGGTTCTGTGTCCTTTTCCACGCCTTAGGCGTATGGTATGCTCTCGTCGTGAAACAGAAACTCGGCGAACCTGCACCGCCCCGAGGCACAAACGGTGGTCTACAGGCGTACATACATACATACGTACATACATACATACATACATACATACGTACATACATACATACATACATACATACATACATACATACATACATATATATATATATGTATAAATATGTATATACATGCATACCTACGTGCGTACATACATGCATGCATGCATACATACATACGTACACTCACTCATGTCTATATCTATTTATCGACTGGTGTGTATGTACGTATGTGTAGATATACATAAAAACTGATTAAAACATAGGGGCATTCAGCAGGTCACGCGGAGAAGCGTTGGTCCCACTTCCTCCACGGAGAAGGAGAGGTCCTGTGTTTCGGCTCGGGAACTTTGGGTTTCGGGCTAAGGCACTCGGGTTTAGGGGTTTAGGGCTTAGGGCTTAGGGTTTAGAGGTTTAGGGGTTTAGGGTTCAAGGCGTGGGTTTGAGTTGTTTGCGCCTGGGTGGCGTCGAGCCGGAAGAATGGGAACAAGACAACCGCAAATGAGACTGACGAAAGTGCTCATGATACGGAGAACGGACGATAGCGTTTGCAACTTGGAGCTTTGAAGGTTGGGTCTGGCAGTTCGCTTGGGTGGTTCAGCGCGGTCTTTCGGGGGTTGTGGAAGCTGCCGATTTTGCATTTTCGGAAGCTGACGACGACTGCACGACTCAAGGCAACCGAACTACGGCTTGTCCTTGGAGACGATTCGTTCCGAACTCCTCTTGTTAAAGGTATCCGGTATCCTATATAGAACTCAAACTTCAGAGCAGCCGACCTCGTCGAGCTGTTACACCCTCACACCAGGCCTGCCAGTTTCAGGGGTACGAGGTTTAGGGCCGAAGTTTAGAACAAATACCGCGAGCGGAAAGTTGCTCCTGCAGCGGGGTCGAGCCGTCGTGCCCCTGCGCTTTGGCTGCCAAGTCAGACATCTGAACCTGGACGGCAGTCATGGGGGTGGGGGCAGTGGACTTGAAAAGGCTCCGACAGACAGGGCCCACTCTTTCTTCCCGTATCTTTCGCTACCTTCATTGGCACTGTAGGGGCGAAACTCCTGGCGTCTGCCTCTCTCTTCTCGCTGCTCGCTTCTCTGCCCATTCTGTTGCGCGTAAGGGTCCTGTCACGGACCCCTCCCCGCATGGGGCGGCTCGTTCTTCGGGCCTTCGGGGCTTTACAGGCAAGGAGAGCTGTAAGACTGAGTCCATTCGACAGAGGAAGATGGCCAGCTGAACAAGGCTGTAGCTTCCGTTCTCTGTAAACTCTCGTGCAGATGGTATCTCTCTGCAACCAGTCTGCTTAAATGTCTTTTTGGTGGACACCCCTCGGCTTCCGGGCCAGTCGCGCCTGCAATTGTGGGACAGCGGTCTCGTCGTAGTTCGCCACCAACTCCTCTCAAGCACTAGCATCGCTTAAACTACCACCAACACCGGCAGCTGCATCCCCTCCACCAATAACCACAACACAACCAGTCATGATGATGATCGGGGCACCGCCGCTTCCGAAGCTACAGCTACTTATGTATAAAACGAGTCCAATGACGATCGCAATGATGCCGGCGATGCTGATCAGGAAGGATTACAGTGATGGTAATGGTGGTTGTGATGATGGTGGTGGCAGACATGTTGGCGAAGATGAAGATCGTTGTGACCACAAAGGTGATGATGACAATGACGACGATGAGGAGGAGGAAGACGACGACTACGAAGGACGACAACGACGAGACCAATAGGCCTCAGTCAGTAGAAAAGCTTCGACGCCCCAAGACCTCAATCCCCACGAATCGAAGCCCGAGACCTGCAGAAACGGGAAACAGTGAACACTGAGCCTGAAACGATGATGACTGGCAAAGCTTCGGAATGTGATTTGAAGCTGGCAAGATGTGCCTCTAACACCCGGGCCAGCAGGTGCACCCCCGACTGGTAGTCCAGGTGTGGATTGTTACCGACCTGGCGCCCGGAAACAGGAAGCGAACCTCCCAAGACGCTTGGGCTTGGGTAGTCAGCCGGGATAACGGCGTCTCTGACACGCTCTCCCTTTGCCGTCCTGCAGAAATTCGTGCTCGACCACAAAGCGAAGCAATCAAGCAGGTTGAGCAGGTATGAAAGCGTAAAGATGACCGTGAATCTGGAATATACCAAAGCTCGTCGTAGCTGGATTGTGAACTTGTACATGATCACTCACACAGAACACAACGATAGCACCAACAGTCTTTCATAAAGCCTGTTGGTGCTATCGCTTAAGCGATTCCTTTGCAAGGTGTGTGCAGTCCAGCTTGCCTTCATGACCTCTCACCCTTTTGCAACAGGCTTTCCACTTCGCCCGAAGTTGGAGCAAGCAGCGGTCACCCTAAACCCTAAACCGAATCCCTACAGGAGGCCTGGGTCATGAACTGAGAGGCCCCCTCCAGGACAAAGGCGGGCGTGCTCGTGACCTAGGCACTCCAAGAAGGTTTAGGGCTTCGGGGTTAGGGTTTAGAAAAGCTACTAGACTTCTAAGTACCCGAAAAGAGACCCCAATTGGGGGTATGATACTTGTAAGTCTATGAAATAACTACTTACTAAGTTCCCCGACCCTCCGAAGTATGCCACAAATGATGGAAGCTTCTCTCCGGGCCACACCATCCTTCAGCCCGAGCTCGTTCTCGATCCTCCCCCGTGCCTTGGAAAAGTTGAGTCGAGGCCTTCGGGCTTGAAGCCAAGGTCTGAAATTCGGTTTAGGGTTTAGGGTTTAGGGGAGTCTGAAAATGAAGGGGCCTTAATAACTCTAGCAGGGCTTTTGGGTATATTGTAACCATAATCATGTCTCGAATATAACCACTCTAATAGGGCTTTGGGGTATACTTCTGTACTATAGTCATCATAAGGAGCCCCAGAAGGAGTATTGCCAATGATCTAGGCCCACTCAGGCCCCTATAATGGGGTCTGTGGGCCTGGGGAGGGTTTAACGCTTCGTGGCACCGCTTGGGATTTGCTGTCACTACGGTCATAAGTACCTTCATGGTTTATCCGCCGACCCTGGCGGCGTGTTG